AGGAGATGAGAATTTAGAGATTGTGAACACAGGGCTGCCTGCTTTGACCTCTACCTGGTACTCAGCATAGTTCTTCAGTCCAATGCCAAGGAAGGGTTTGAAGGCATCCATGTACTTCAGAAACTCTCCACCTAAGACTGTTGCACGGAAAATACTCTAGTTAGAAAAAAATCCCAACGTATGACATATTTGCTGGAGTTCAACAAAACAGAAACCCACCATTATATTCCACCCAAACCCAGTACCTGTACTTTCCACAGAAGCACAACAAATCATTTCTCAGCACAAAAACTCAGTATTAGTGAAATACGTCCATCTGGACTAAACTGAGATTTGAAAAAGCTCAATTCTGTGCAGGCCTTTGAAGACAGACAACCCCCTCCTGTGCTCAGAAAGGATCTTGAAGTCTTCCTGACCGAGCAGACCCATCAGAGGGAGAGGGACATGGCAGCACGCTTCAGACAGGGTTCAGCACCGTTACATTGCTTTGCATCAGCTGAAAACTCTACGCCTTTTCACATCACTTTAATGCCGTAACAGCTGTAACATCTTCCTTTTGGACACAGCTGCTCAACCTCTTCAGAGCCATGCAGTTCAAGCAGGGCACTCTTCAGTATGTTTATATTTAAGCAATATTTGAAGTAAAATATTTCTGCTCTTCTCCAACTCCTACCTTCCTCAAGTCACTTGCATTACTGAGACCACGCACGCAGACTTTATCCAAAAGTGAAAAAGCCTCTGTCCCAAGAGAATACGCACTTTCACTTGCTGGCTAGCTTGCAATGATCCCACTCAACTTTCTCATTCACTTCCCACCTGCCTCAAGCAATTCCACTAAATGTTCCCAAGAGCAGTAGGAGGGGTACCCACCAAACACCAGCTCTCCAAAACATGCTAGTGTCAGAAGGGGCTACTCCAAAAAGCCAAAACTAACTCTGCTGCCCTTACAAGGTGTCCTGTGTTCTCAGAGCAATCAGGCACGGACTTCTGCTAGAAATAGGTCCTGTCACCTGCTCAGACCCTCAACAGGCGAGCCAGGATAACAGCCTCAGGAAAAAGGGAAGACTCAAACGAGCCTCTTTACAAACTGATCTCCCCGAACACCCGTTTCCAAATCATGTGTGGCTTTCACTGGAGATAAGGCAGGTGTGTTAGGTAATGAGGTTACACGTAGACTTTCAACAGCACCTCAACTTTCACACTCCTGTGTAGCATTTGACAACAGAGCGTGCTCCTAGAGCTCCAGATGACGCCACAGCCATCACCTTCTAAACCTGAACCATGAAGCTCAAGCCGCCTGGAATAGCACGACCCAAATTTAATTTTGCTTCACCCAATTCTGACCCACTCTAATGCTGGATCTTTGCCACCATGATTTCTTACTGACAAAACTCCACAAAACAACCACGGGTCACAGGCAGCGGCAAGTATGAATCACTGAGATAACGTTAAGTCTGTCCTGCAGCAGCACGAAGAGACCAGGTTCCCAGTGTGCTGGGCACTGTACAAAGGAGCACTAAGGCTTTTTTTTTTCCTGGCAGAATTTGCACCGTTGCTATGTTATTAATGGAAAACAAACCATCCATTCACAAAACACAATCTAGCGTAACCGGCCAGTCTCAGAGCTTCACAGACAGATGTGGCGAGATGCGCAGTCAAAACCGTACCTCAAGCAAAACCAGGAATGAACAACGTTCTTCACTGTACAGTCAAAAAAAGAGAAGGAAGCAAACCAGTTCTGTCCCAGCTCTGCTTCTCCCCCCGAACACAGCCCTGCTCTGCCGCGAGACTGACCTTCTACCAGGGTGCTGACTGCCATCAAGGCGTCCTCCTGCACGCCCCCTGAGCCCGCTGTGCTCTGGAACATTCTCAGCAGAGATGCCATCACCACGTCAGAGATCTGCAAAGCATCTTGGTGCTGGACTTTCCGGAGGACGTTCTGGGTGGGAATGGAGAAAGAGATTGTAATTGCTTCCATCTACGCAAGGCTGAATTGCGCCTTCATATCTCCTGCGCTAGCTCCGAACGCTCGTGATCACACTGGGCTGCTAAAAAGGAAGCTGCTGTTTGAACTCTGTTGCTGCAAAAATATGCTTTGTCAGTGCAAGTGCAAAGTCCCATTCATTTTAGCTGCATTCAATTTTCCAGCTACAGAACAAGCTGAATTTACCTTTCCTGCTGCATAGGCTATTCTCCAGGCTTTCCATTTGTAAGCTGGCATTAAATGTAACCAGCCCAAATCTGGCCCTATAAAAAGAGCCCTCTTCCATCACAGCAATGCGACTGTAATCTCTTACTGCCAAGTATGGGTTGCACATAAGCTTTGCTTCTAAACTGCAGAATTAAACTTCAGAAATATGACGTAAGAATGTCCTTACTGATAACTGCAGTCAAACCTCTCCTACCCAGGATGAGCAGAGAATAAATTAACATACAACGAATGCAAAACAGCCTTACAGGACCATGTTTAGCACCGAGGGGCTTGGAAAACAAAAGTGGTTTCTGGAGAGAGCAGAGGCAGCCTTACACACAAGCAGAGCAGGCTGGCGAGCACACGTGTGCTCTGTGTTACCCAGCACATTACAGTGAGCAGAAGGGGCAAGGAAACATCCCAGGTGAATACCTGAGCTTAACCTACGCTCTGATCCTCCTGTACACTTCTGACCGTCCCTTTCAGCATGTGAACTACAGAACACAGCTTTGATGTGTCCTTATTTAAAATAAAATTTGCATTTCCTATGACAAGAGAAAGCCTGACTCCTTAACCCGCAAAGGCAAATAATTATTTCAAGTCTGATTCCTCAAACTGAGTCACTCCAAAGAGATTGACTTTGACTGTTTAAATAATTGCTCTGGATTTTCTCGTTCCATATAAATATTAACAAATGTTTTTCCTCTGCTGGATGTTCATAATTGTGTTTTCAGCAGAAGAGAAAAAGTATGTAACAAAGTAGTATATCTGACTATGTAACACTGAAAATAATCTCCCTGCTGATTTTTGCTTAGCGGTATTTAAGTATCTGTTGCAACTACTGTAAACACTTAAGGTTCAGATTTTGCGATAATGAAGGAACACACATTTACAAATTTAAACTAGCAGTTTAATTCCACCTGTACTACACTTCCCACAGGCAGAGGTGTCCTGAAAGAGATCAGTGATCACACTGTGCCAAAAGGAGAGATTCTAGATACTGAAGTCTCTCCATTAGTCCACCATAAGGACAGATTATTCCCATCTACCCGTTATTTGAAAAATTACCCTAAAGAGCAGAGAGTGAAAGTAACAGCTGATGCTAAGGGCTTTTGAACAAGAAGGATGAAGTTAATGATTTCTCAAAACAACCTGGAGACAACACCCAGGAGATCTCCTAACCTCGCTGAAGAGAACAGGAAGCTAAAACCTGCAGGCGAGGAAAAGGCTCCTTTTCCTGGGCTAATCAGAATGGAAGAAACAAGCTCAGAGAACAGGTAGCACCAAGAAAGGAATAAATCTGAGTAGAGATAGATACTCTGCTCTGCTTTTATTTCAGAGGGCATAGCACTGTATCACACCTCCAGACGAAAACGCTCCTTTCTTCTCTGAGCTGCGCTGATGCCGATCCCACGGCTGTTACAGCGTTTTAAAGCAGTGCCTTGTAACTGTTAATAAGCTAGGCATGGCAGCGCAGAACCACCCTTCCTGTAGCGCAAACAGGAAAGCTTCAATATCAAATACCACATATCTCAGGATGGCCTGATCAAACTCCTGAGCGGTTCTGGGGGGGGGAAAAAGCGGCTGTTTTCAGTGGACTTGCAGGAGTAAGCAAGGAACCAAAATGCACGAGTATTCCAAGTCACATGGGCTGTTCATTACCAGATGTTTAACTTCAAGGACACTCAGTGCATTTTAATTAGTGCCATTTTAAATAAGAACACCAACCACAAGAGGCAGACGAAGGAATTAAAGCCGTTATGGAGTTTTTTTTTGTCTGTGCCAACCAAAGCGATCGTGCAGCCCATAGCCTGTGGGCTGTAAGAGCCAATCTGAAAGCACATACAATCTTTAACATGCCACATACAGTCCTCTTTATTCATAGTGCCCTCAATTTTATAAGTTGTACTCCACTGAAGCCTTCTGAACCTTCTATCACCTCCCACATGTCAGCTGGGACACAAGATGCAATTTCCTCATTCAGATCTCATCAACAGAGCCCAGCCTGCATCCTCAGGGGCACAGAAATGTCTCTGAAACTGCCTCTTCCCCATAACCGCAACACGGGAGACAGAACTTACCTGTAGAGTAGCACAAAGAAGAGACTGAAGATCATTGAACTGGATTCTATCAGAAGTACTCTGGATATGAGACTGAAAAAGAAAAAAGCCCCACATGTGAAAAGCCTGCATCGCTGTCTGTGCAAACCCAGCGGATTTTGACAGCCCTATGAGCTGCACAGACTCAATTTTAAATATTTGTTTCTTCAAATTTAAGACAAGAGGTACCGTTTGGAAGCTTAATATATCTAACCTATCTAGAAAAATAATAAAAATGCATTATACCACAAAATACGCAGTCAGCAACAAAACTAATTTTTCTACATCAGATGAAGCCACAGCACAACAGCAACATCACGCCTACTCGGTTTCTTAAACCCCTTACCGTGATGGGGGTTTAAAATTGGGGTTTACCTACCTCCATCTGCAGCACTTGCTGAAGTCGTTCCATGATGACCAGAGTTGTCTTTTGGACAGCAGGGTAACAGTCCTTGGCACTGTTTTTCACTATTTCCATCAGAGATTCATATGCAGAACTCCTCAAGTTATTCTGGTGTCCATCAGGCCTGTAACAGGAGGAACATATTTGCAGCTCCCAGTGCTCAGGCTTGCTTAGAAACAGACTTTTTTTTTTTTTTTTTAGTAAATCGGTAACAGCTAAATTTTAGCGTGGTGACAAACAGAAGCACTTGCATTCTTGTATTGCAAGACTTGAAAGTAAATGAAATTTGTGAATCTGCTTTTGGAACATTTTTTCATTCGCTATTAATAATGACTTCCAGTATCTTCAGTCACTGGCAGCAAGTACAGGAGCAGAAAAAGTCTCAAACCCACATCTCCCAGTGTGCTGTTACCCTGCCTGGGAAGAGATGGTCTCAGGAGGTGAGCAGCATACATTACTAGCTCTCCAACATCCTTCCGAAATGTCGGTGAGGGTGTTAAATTTGAAATAAAGACAGCTGAGATTTATGCTAAGATGACTGATGGACTTCAGAGCCTTGAGCTAGACACTACACTTCTGGTTGGATGTAAATTAGACAGGAAGAGTGTAGACTTTGAACTGTTCAGACAGAGACACCATTTAAGAAGAAGCAGTCCTGCAGCAAAAGGCTTCAACTGACGACTGAACTGATCCAAGGATTGAACCCTGAGCTGTCAAGATTTATGCGACCTTCAAGGCAGAATACGACTTCAGTGTTACCCTTATTTTCGCATCTCCAGAACCGAGAAAATATTTTGCCTTGGCTCTTTGTATTTCAGCTTAGTTGGGAAAAGGACAGTATCTAGCCTAACTAGGTCCTCAGCTCTTCTGGGAGCACCTGGTGCTAATGTAAATGGATGTAACGCTACAGCAACAACCACGGCATAAAACAATCACAGTAAAACGAACTGTACGATACACACAGATCTCTAATTATCTCTTGCTGCAATCCTGATTATTCAGTGGCCTTGTAGCCAACCTTGAAGAGTCTTATCACTGCTGTACAAAGATGCGCACAGTCTTAAACCGTGCTCGGAAACTTCAAAGTAAAGCATGGAAGAGGCACTCTTGGAGGAAAACCCAGACTTACTAAAAGCAGATATGGACAAAATACTGAGAAATTATTCTGTGTGAATAGCTTTCTTCCTGGGGATTAGCATCCTATATTCCATGTGATACCAAAAAAAGCCCAGTTCTGATAAAACACCATTCAGATCTAAGCTGCAAGAGAGAGGACCAACAGTCTGAAGTAATAAAAAAAAAAAAAGCGCATCTTCACAGAGCTTAAGCCAGCTGGTTTAGCGTTACCTATCTGCAGTCTCCAGAAGTTTCTGAACTATTAGCTCAAATGAAGAGGATAAGCAATACGTTGCTGGTTCTTCCTGATCATCAGCTACATCTGCAGCTTCATAGGCAGCTTCAGCAAGACTAGAGAAGGCCTGAAAGACAGAACAACCACTGCTATTACTCAAATGAGTTTACCCTCGCAAGTCCAGAAACATATATTCCAACAGTTTTCATTCTAACAAAACCACCCCCCAAAACCCCCAAACGTGCAGGATTAACAAGCTCCCTTCATGAACCACTAGATGTTCAGCGCACTAAACTTTGGTGCGAGTGGTGAAAGTTTCAGACTTAAAATGTAACACTAACATGCAAGGCAGTCACCCTGTCTGCAGTCAAGTGTCTGCACAGCATCACTGCTCTCAACAACTGGCAGCTGTCAAGAATCAAAGTGAATAAAGGCAGATTGCTTGAACCTCGCAGGGTATTAACAGATTCTACCCACTACCCAGCATCGTCATCACGAGTTAAAAATCCTGGTTTTGACAAAGCTGCGGACTGCTCAAATTCCCAACTGCAGAGCAATTGTAACTGCTCTGAGAGGCAGGTGGATTGGAAGAGTTGAAAGCCTCCTGATTTTCATTTCAATCTAAAAACATATAGTAGTCATCATCTTCAGAAGACAAAAGCCACAGCTACATGGACTTTTGCCAGGATCAACGTATCGTGGAAAAGCTTCCGTGCTGACTAAAAGTCTTCAAACCTCTGGAATACGAAGAGAACGAATTCTGTCATTTCTAGAACTTGTTTTGACATGCAAATACTCATCTCTAGCTCAATTCTTATTGAGCAGCTCTCGTAAAAGGCAGTAAGGGACACATCCTCTTTATAGCAAAAGAACAGGTATGCTGCTTGGTAGTAGGCATGCATCAAGACGATACAACTGAAGTTAGCAAGCCAACCCAAGGGACTGCAGCTGTGTAAGTGAACAAAAAAAAAATCTCATGCTCCCTAACTTAGTTCTGGAACCACTGCAGAAGCAGGCTTAGGTAATGGGGAAGAAGGTTTCTTGTCTCTCCCTTAAGAATAAGGCGGCAATCCAGCTGCCCCCCAAGAAAAAAAAAGCTAAATCCCAGCATGCCTTTTCCAAACAGCTAGCACACCTGTTATCAAGGACACCTTCCACAGCATTTTCAAACCAAAGGCAATTCTACACTTACTGATTATTAGCATTTTTTCTCCTTAAAAATCCATTTCTTCCCCTATTCTTTCCTACCAGAGCCACAAAACAGAGCTAACTTACAGTTAACAAGTTGTGTGTGCTGGATGACCAAGCCATGAGTCATCTCTGAAATTCATTTAAGTGAGTATATATATGTATGTGTGTGCGTGTGTATATACATATATTTGTGTGTATTCACATATATGAATATGAGCTGCATTCCTCTTGTTGAAACTATCATACATCCAACAGCAAAGGGGCTGCCTTACCCAGCACACGTTGGAGGCCACTCTGGGCTCAGCGCTCAGGCCCTCCATCAGACACTGCAGCAGCGGAGCGAGGTAAATGTCATTGATGGCAGCTTCCGGAAGCATCTCACAGATCCTGCCCACGGTCCAAGCAGTTGTGTCTCGAACCACAACACTGGGGTCCTTCATTAGTTCTATTAAAGTTGGCATTGCCTACAACGTAATTGCAGCCAGGAGAAAGATGTGATCAAACGCAACATATGGGAATATGAGTTTGCCACTGTTTCTGATTTTAAGGTGTTCCCTATGAGATAGTGATAGACTGGGGAGGGGAGGACAGTCTAGATCCAGTTAGGCCACTGTTCTCATAATTTAAGATTCATAAAGTTATTTCCCAGGGGGGAAGACTTGAGAACTGACACATCTGGAGTCAGGTATTCCGAAGTCCTGCACATCCCTGCGATTCAGAGCTATGTAATGCAACTACCTGCCCTGGGCCTACCAAACATCTCTAAAACATGATTAAAAGGTGGCATCCTTTTGCTTTTCCTCAGATTAAGAACAATGTGCAAAGCAGGCACCCTCCTCCAAATAAATCAGAAAGTTTTTGCTCTAGGAGCCTCCAAGAAAACACAATGGGTCTTACCTGTATGACTAGTGGTTTGAGCTGGTTAGGCTCTGGTCCTTCCAAAATGCACCCAAAAGCCATCACAGCTGCATCTCTGTATCGCCAATCAGGATTTTTAATGTGTTCTTTAATAAAGGGCAGCACATGAGGAACAATGTCATCTTCACAGCAGGTCGCCAGGAGCATGAGGCAGACTCCTGCTGCTTTGCAGGGGTTCCAGTCGTCGTCGTCATCGTTTTCATCCTAGCAGGAGAACAGCACCCCTGGTCAGTCTGGGGGAAAATAGCCCTCACCACTCACAGGCAGCAGCATCCTCTTGGATCTTCTGCAAGTAACATTGCCTTCCTACCAGGTGTTATATTTAGAAATTAATGCAGGTCTGGAAGTACTAGCTACATCTCTGGCAGAGAAGCAACCCGAGTTACTTGCATCATCTGTACCTTTCCACCCTGGTGTAAGGCTGCTAGCTCTTTACTGATGCACCTACAGTAGCCTCGCACATCTTCCAAACTGCTTCTCTCTCATCTAGGTTGAGATTTTGTTCCTTTGATCTGTGCCATCTCCTCGCAGAGTGGCCTGCCGTACCAGTTAAATAGCTTCTCCCCCCTGACTGTTAGCTCAGCCACTTACCAAATTCCTTTGAAGCTGTGTACCTTCGATTCTCTTATCTGTTTTATCTTCCCTGTTTTAACAAGCACTTTAGAACTTCCTGCAATTTAACTCTCCGCATCCAAGCGGACAGCGATACAAAACAGAGAAACAATTCCCTGGATTCGCTAAGAGCACCTAACATTCTCCCAGTTCATCGCAGTAAGCCAAATGAACTCCGTCCTGTATGGCTTAATTAACAGTTTTAATTTATAATTAGACCTGCTGTAGCAAGTGATTCCATTAATTTTGATTAGACTGTGAAACACAGTCCAAACAAGTCCCCGTGAAGTGCTTAATAGGTACTAAACAAATATGGACTTCACAGTTCAAAAAGTAAAGCTCAAGAATTCCAGAAATTGGATCTCTAATGACGCAGAGACTGTATATTGGTTTTAATTTCACAAACGTTTCGTTAGGAATACAGATAACTATCAAACCTCTTCAGAAACCATAAATACAAGCATGTGTTAACAGAATTCAGCATAAAAATGACACTGCATGCAGTCTCACAGTTTCAGCCTTAAAAACCACGATGCATCATTCAGTCAGAGTGGTGCATGATGTCTCATCACAGACCAAGGACTGCCACTACAGGTGAACAAACCTGAACAAACGCACCCTTAAAAACTACCCGAGGGGACCTAAAGCACCTTTGGGACCAAGCACGAAGAAGTCACCCATGCAAGGGAGCAATGACCACCACTGACAGTTTGCTCTTCAGTTTGCCATGGCAGCATCACTGCCCCAGAACCTGGAAGCAGGCATAGCACAGATTTTTTGACATGCAGCAGGGATTTTGCAACTCACCTGTTTTGTTAATGTTTGTGTTAGAATTGGGACCAAATACTGTAGTGCTCCCTTCGCATAAAATTTGCTAGTGTGTTCTGGAGGCCTTCCTTGCTCTGCTGCCTAGAAAAAAAGGTTACAAAATGATTCTCAGTGGCTATATTGGCACAAGGTTTGAATTATGAACTCCAACAGATACAAATTCTCTTTTGCATGCTTTCTTCTCCTCCAACACAAGCTTTAAGTTACCATAACACACAGGAACTTCAAGGACACCCTGCACCAATCCTAGTTAAATATTCAATAAGCAAGTTCAATTTGACATTCCATACACATATAGAGCCCCTCCTCACATGGTACAATACAAATATTTTCAGTTTGCAGTTATGTATAATTAACAAGTGACCCCAAGTAAAAGCAGCAAAAGGTCTTCAGCGTATAAACTAAACCCACTCGCTGCTGGCTGTCCTTTTATCCTTGCTATCCTTGCTTTTTTGGGCATTCAACATAAAAATATATTTAGCTACTTTTAAAGATGGATATGATTCATCTAGAGCCCTTCAAAGTTTAAGCTATTATTGATCTCTACAGCTAATTTATGCAAACAGCATCTGCATGCAGAACAATACCCCAAATTCATCTCCAGCCCCATCCATTCTAAGGGATAATGGTTACTTTTATTTCATTTCATAATTTTATACTTAACTCATAAATAATGTATTATACAGAATGTGATCAATCTTTTTGCGCGCTGGGGTAGGAATAAGTCGCTCACGCCTGTAACAAACCCCCAAAATCTTACATGTCAGCATAACAGAGTCCACCAGGACTCCCAGACAGCAGGTAATTCAAGAAATGCTCTCCCTCCAATGCGGTACATATATCTCAACAATTCGAGATGCTGTCTTAAGGAAGCAACAGCTCAAAGATCTTCACGATACCGAGAATCTTCTGGTATCTTACTGTGCCTAGTATACACGCTTAATGCACATTTAGGTTAACCTTACAGGAGTAGCTTGAGTTGACTTTGGAATGCTAAAAAGAAATCAGGTAGCTGTCACATACATTTGCAGAAAACTAGCACTTGTATGTCACAGTGTGTTCTCATCAAACCTGTCAGAGAATCTTTATCTCAAGTAGTTTCAATTCCCAGCCAGGCTGGCATTAAAACCATTTTGCTCACTTAAAAAGGCAGTTCATCCTCATCTGATCTGGTAAGCAAAAGGGGTTATATTCAGGCCACACTAAGAACTTTACATTAGGCTGCAGAGGCTGGAAAATAACCCAAGGAGTTATTAAAGGGGATTCCAAATGGTGGCCCCTGTGCAACCTTAACTACAAGCTTCGAATTTACCTTGAACAGCAGAATAAATTAATCACAGCTGAGCCCTGGCTGAGACAGCTCCTAGCACCCAAGCTAGCAGCTAAAAACTAAGCTGGGTACCACAACACCGTGCCGATGTCTGCAACGCACGTAACACCCGCAGAGTCAACCAGCCTCGCGGGCTTCGCGCAGGTCTCAGCTTCTGTTACAGACATGCATCACGTCGCATCAGAGTGGTGCATGATGTCTCATCACGGACCCACGACTGCCGCACAAGGGGCTCAGATGGGCTCTCCTACACTATTCCACTTGGGAGAACAGGAGGACTTTCAGACGCGGTTCAAAGACATGAGTTCAGCATTCCCAAACATGATCGCAGGCGTTTGCTGCTTTTCAGCGGTCATTTGCAAGCTCACCTCAGACGCCTCTATAGCCAGGTCCATCTCCTCATCGCAGACATTTGACCAGAACTCTATCCCCTGTAGAGCCACCTCATCTATGTCACTTTTCATTGCTTCAATAGTTATCTTCAGAAACATGAAAGAAAGGAGGGGAGAGAAGAAGTTTTAACGAGTTGTTTCTCCTGAAATACGTGCCCCAACTTTTGGCCAACAGCTATGAGATTTGAGATTGTCTGAAATCAGATGCCACATTAGAGTTACTGTTCTTGAAGACAATCTCCTCATTTAGAAGTTTATCGGCTATCAGCACCTCAGGAGGACTGCAGAGCAAGTCAAGCAACCTGCATCGTCCTGACTTTTAGAGTCTCAAGTCCGAAATACCTGATGCTGGTTTCACAGATTTTGCTAGGAGAGAGGGATTCACAGCATGCGGTCACAGCCAAAGAAAACAAAACCAAATCAGGAACATAGGAAAACTTTTCCTCTTCGATCAGGACAAAGGAGTACAGGAAGATCAGACAACTATATATGAGAAACCTGAGTACTCACAGCAAAAAGCGCAGGACCCATGTATGTCTCCATATATTGATAATAAAGGGACATTATCTTCACCAAATTCTGTAAGGCAGCCACTCGTACCTGTCAGAGTAGAAAATGGATCAAAGATGTGACCTTTCCGGGCGCTTTGAAAACCAAGCACAGTTGTAGCCTACCACAGATTAATAACCCAGCCTTTTTGCTGATTTAGTTTACTCCAGACCTAATAAGGTCTTTCACAACAAGCGACGTATATCCTCTTAGTAGCTTACTACTTCTAACTTTTAAGTATAAAACTCATTTTGTTTGCATAAGTAACATGTAAGTAACATGTGCACCAATCATTTAACAGAACACTGTTTATTTCACATAACACTTTTCAACTGTTTGTTGATGCTAGAGGTTCTACCCCCAGGAAAGTGCAGTGACAAATCAAGCATTTAATTTCACTCACCCTTGTATCTGGACACTGCGTTGCTTCACAGACTACTTGCATAATAAAGTGCCTTTCGGACTAGAAGGAGAAATAAAGGAACATTAGAAATGCCTTACAAAAGCACCGAAGTCTTTGCAAGCCTTCCTACAGAGGCTGTATTTTGAGTCTGGACTAGTACAATCGCTCACGTGGCACTTCTAAAGATCAAGGAACAGTACAGGTTACTATTCACTGCAGTATTTTAAATCGTTTCTTCCCCAAAATGGGAATCTCAGGCTTCCATTTTAAAAAGTGCTTAACAGGCTGTCCAAAATAGAAAGATACAGCAGAACTAAAGACACTAGCTTTTCAGGGGGAGGAGAAAAAAACCAATCCTGCTGTTTCCTGAACTATTTCAGCAATTCCTTCAAGAAAGCTCAAAACTCAGCACGTAAATTTCTCGAGGGGCAGTACCTGGATACTTGCATTTTAGTAGGAAGGAACAGACTTATGCCCAGGATATTTTCCATACTGAAGCCCAACAGAAATACGGTCTGAATGGATCATGCACCTCCCGTCTCAAATTCTGAAAGACTCTAGTTGATCCCCATCAACATCCACTGAATAGTTGACTAGGGCAAGTTTTCATTAAAAGACCTTCTAAGCTGAAGGTTCAGTATTAATTCCATCTTCCCCATACTCTCCCTGGTAGAGACCTAGCGGATAGACTTAATCCGAGAAGGAAAAGAAAAAAAATCAATAGATTTGTCTGTTCTGAAGAGACTCTCACTCTGAGGCCCCTATTCTGAAGGCTCTTACAGGCCTTCCTCCCCCAACAATTTTCAGAGGCAAAGTTAAATCTGGATTGCTGCCACACCACTTGAAAGAAAGTGCTGATCCAAGCTTGTACTCTTACAGCAGCATTATAGAGTAGAGTTTGATTAGGAAGCAGAGCATCTAATAGGCTAAACTCTAAGGTCAGTTCAAATTTATCCAAAAAAAAATCCATGATGCTTCCTTTCCATTGATGAATCTCTGAAGATTTCCAGAGTATTTCTGCATTACAACAAGAGCATACCGGATTTACAGAAATGAATCCAAGTCTCAGTTGCAACAGAATTATGCATCAAAATTCAGCGTGGTGCATGATTTCTCTTCATAGACCGTGGATTCAGCCCTTGCATTTTAGCCCAAGAATTGTTACCCCCTCACCTCTTTGTCAAAGTTTGCTTTGGTGAATTCCAAAGAGTTCAGGAGTGCATTAGTAGCTGCTAGCTTCACATTGTTGCTGGGCTCTTCCTTTCTCATTCCCTGGATGATGGCTGTCAGGATCTCATTGGATTTGTCCTGAAGCTGCTCTGGATCCTAAAAGAAGTGTTGATAAAGTTATTTGCCAGCTGAACAGCCTTCTCCATATTTTAAAGTAACCTCAAAGTTTGATCCCGAAATCTACAAGCAGAAGTTTTAAGACATGAAGGCTGAGAAGCCCTTTGTTCAATGGGAGGACCAGAACGCAAGTACAAGGAATTCATACGCCATTACGTCTTCACCGCTTCTGGGACAGGAAAGAGAAGACTGAACTGAGCACAAATACTCCAGGTATTCCAGTCCTAAATGCCAAATAAACGCGACTGTTTCAAACAACAGGTCAACAAGCTTCAGACTACTTGACTTCATTCAATTAGCAAGCTAAAAAACACTGACTGTTTTCCAGCTCCTTTATATACTGGGCAGAGGTCTACGCCAGCAGTTGCAGTTGATGCTTTTATTGGTAAAGTTGCCAAGCTTTTTTAGATGCAGTGCAAAAATATATTGCCTGGACCGGTAGCAAGAATAGGTAACTGTTAAGCACTCAAAGCTTAAAGAATAAAGTTGTGAATGTAGACTCAAGATTAATTTTTCTTTGTGGCAAACTGCAAGATCCCCAAATAACTGTATTGTTACCTCAGAATTTATCCAGCAGTAGATTCCCAAACTATGGTCACAAACTGTGTCACAGTGTGACTGACAAACTACAAAACTCTTAAGAGGGATCTCGGTTACAAAATACCCAACCAGCAAGCATGGGCATCCAACAATCCAAAGGCCAACGCTACCTGCCACCCAAAGAAACACCAAACACGCACCCAAGTCTTGCACGGACTTGTGACAAACAACGCTTGACCTGGAGCATGCCCCCCATACAGCTGCAGATTTCCTCTTTTATTTCATTGACCCTCCCTGAAGCAACTGACCTCCCCAGTGAAACCAATCCCCTGCAGTCTGATGGAAGCACCAAACAGAAGATTTCTCTTTCTACCTCACTATACCGAGGTTCAACCAGCCATACGCTGCACGTACATTCTCCAAGGCGTTCAGTGGCACCAAAAAAGCAGCAGCTCATTTTGGTTTTCAGTGGTAGGTCAGACAGCACGCAGGGTTTTTGCGGACAATTCACATCAGATACTCAATGCTGCACACTACGCTGATAAAACCATGAGGCCTTTTGTAGAAGGTGCCTCAAGAGCTATATTCTTGCCTGTGCATCAAAAATTCCTAAGCTAAGAATAAACGGACTCAGGCAAGATGAAGGTAGATGTCAGGTTTCCCCAACACAGAAAGGAATCAAAACACTTATCATTCATCTGTAACATTTTACACCACTGGACGTTCAGCTGAAGTTTTATAACAGCACCCCTCGCCATCATATGACCGCAGCGATGTACAGACTTAAATCTGCACCTTACAAAAGATGACCTGGATTTGTGCTGCGAAAGCGGGTCACTCCCTTCAGACACCATCCTTGTGTGTTTACCGCCCATGGTTCTGTCAGCACAGACGCATCTTCCGGACAAGTATTAAAAGACAGCCAGAAGGAAGCATTACAGCCTGCTAGGTATAGAGGTGTGAGAAAGGAAAGGCTGGAAGAGAAAAGGTGCTGGGGAAAGGCTAGGCCAGCACTTCAAACATACAATAATACTTAAAATATACTCACGATATCCTGACAGATGTATCCAATGGCCTCCAACGTCGACTCTTTCATGTGCTCCGTACTGTGCTGATTCGTAACGTTCGCTACCAACTGGGGAATGAGTTCGGGCCACTGGTTCATGGGGATCTCTGCGCACGCGATGCCGGCCACGCACTGAGAGGCCGAGCTGGGCCTGTATGTTTCTGTACCCAACGTCTGCAAAACCTACGGGAGAGATCAGCAGGCGATGGTTCGATGTCAGTGACCAACGAGAGATGGGCGCTGGGCTTGCCACTGGAGCCTTCGCTTGATGTTATTCCAAACACACCCCTTCCTCAATAAAGCAGTTTGCTTGTTCTGCTTTCTCCCGCTGCAAATGAGGCCGTGACCACGGACAAATAATGTTTGAAATGAACTTGGCCATGGCTGCCCCTTTCAGGAAGTCAGATACAGCTGTGTGATTACACGTACTTCTACCACATCCTTTAAATCCCATACACAATGCTATGCGCCATAACGCGCAACAATGACTCACTGAACAATTCCTCCCAGCTTGTATTATAAAGCAAAATTGCAAAAGCTAAACAAATTGTGATTTAAAAATCCCCCCCCAAATACCAGACTGTTTATGCGAAGATAATCTGAATAGGACTGAAAAAAATCTTCTTTTGTATTGCAATCAATCAGAAGAATGGGGTGGGTTTTTTTGTATACTTCAATAACTGTTTCTTAAAAAGCTGAAGGGGTGTGCATTTGTTTCAGCTCTTCTAGTTATACGTCTTCATTTTCCGCATATCCACTTAACAAATACTGTATTTCTAAGGGTACTTGACAGAAAACGGTAATAAACTGGTTTTGTAAGCTTCAGTGCATGACAGCTCCTGCTAACAGTGTTAAGTTCTCCTTCAGCTATCACCAACGTAAATAAGACTAAAGTTGTATCATCATCACTCGCCCAACCTTATTCTGCTACGTACAGGTTCTGTTAACACAAAACCGTTACGTAAAGCGTATGGCCAACTCGTACCAATTTACAGAATGCTGCGTGCATCCAAGTACGCCCTGGCTCCCATTAGCCCCCAAAACACTAAGCCACCAGCTTTGCCATTGCAAGTGAACTTTAACTGCCAAGGAACAAAGGAGTCCTCAGGCAAATTCACCAACTGTGTGAAAATTTAAGAATATAACTTCCTATTTGGAACTTGCAAATTTTTGACCATATTCTGCTCTTACAATTTGGTAGGCCTCGTGTAAACATGCGTGTTTGGACACAGAGTATGCTTCAACGATGTTGATGTGGATTGTAAAACAGTTGAGGAAGCTGTTCAAGCATAAGAAAAAGCAAACACCGACCCAGTTGCAATCACCCAGCGGGGAAGCCGCGCCCATTAGCTCCTGCAATCGCAGGAGACTGTTCAGAGCCTCCTTGTAAAAGTATTTACAGGTGTGAATTTAAAAGCGGCAGCCTCGTACCTGTTTGGTTTTTTACCCTAGTAATTCGACAGATTAAATATGCTACAAGCAGCAAAGCACCCAAGCAAGTGCAGATGACATTGCTCATCTTGCGAAAGGGAGCAGCCAGCCAACAGCAGACTCCTCAGGTGGAAAAGGACGGACAAGGCATTCACCGCTTACCCCCCCACATGAGCAAACAACAGCGGAGAACCAAAAGTCACAAAACTTACATAGTTCTTGACTTCCCTGCGGGCGTTGGCGTCGATCGCGAGCCATCTCTGTTGGTACTGGGCCTTAATGTCGGGGTCCTTGGACGTCAGGGAGTTCTTGATCTGCAAGCCGGCCGCCACGCGGGCAACTTGGCTGTTGCCGGGGTTTGCCAGCACTCTGGACAGTTCCACCAGGAAGGTCGGCTGGGGAGAGAGGAGGGCTCAGCACCCGTGCCTGCCTGCCCGCACCTGCCCCTGCCTGCACCTCCCCACTAACAAGGGGAAAAAAAGAAAAAAAAAGTCCCCATTCACCCAGCAAAACGAGGCCACGACTCATTGAAGCTCCTTCTCTACCAGGCCAACAGCGAACCGCCGCCACCGCGCAACGACGGCGGCTCTATCCCGAGATTACGGGCGCTAAGCTCCTAATTAGAACCGCTGGAAAGCGGCGTAAGTAGGCATTGACTTTGCTGGATTTTTTTCGGCTTACTTGAGAGACTGTTACCTTCCGTGCTCCTGCCTGCTTTAAGTATTCCTTTAAATAAACTACCCGGGTCATACGCCAAGATATGTATTTTCTGGATGGATATCAAACATGGCGAAGAGTAACTCTCTGCTACTTATTTCCTTGCTTCAAGGCAAACACCCAAACTATAATCTAAGATGGGAATTGTTAAAATGTGAAATCAGATGCTCCTCTGCTGCATTACAAATAGGTTTGTAAGATTACAAACTTGCTTCTCCGCAATCAAAGGTACAGAGACACATATATAAAGATTACCCCCCCCAGAAAAAGCGCGTACTTGTGGATAAAAATACCTGACATTCGTGCCACTTGCTTTTGGTGAGAGCTAGTGAGAAATGCCTCCGCATTTAAATCCTTTCCCGATTTGACAGCTTTACATTTCAGAGACTTCCGCTGGGTACAAGATACAGCTAAAGTTTCAGCAGCGAAGCTTTTTCAGATCACTGGCCCTATGAAGCATTTTGCCTACCAAGAAAACCTTTCTAGGAAATAGTGGAAACAGCTGCGCCATTTTCAAAGCCGTTTCACGCCAAGCAGGAACATGGTTTTCCTGAAAACATTTAACATACAATTATACATAACCCATTCCTATAATCTCTGTAACAGAACTTAAGATACACACAAAGATTTTAGGGCACCAAAAAGCCATTTTTAAAAGTAACCTAACTTTCAAAAGTTCAAAAGAAACACAGAATAAGTTCAGTATCTTGGACTCTGTGTTTTCAATGACCAAGTGCAGCTCTTAAAAAACAAAAAGTTGTAGCTGGGCTACCCGGTACTCTTCAACATTCAAACTGCAGGATTTGGAAACAAAAATGCAGGACAACTTAAACTGATGAATGTAAGCCATTAGAGATACTCTAAAATTTTAATGCAATAGACAAAGCCCCTACAAATATACCACACTAAACCACTTCCCAACCACCAAGACAGCTCACGATTTATAGGCTGATAAAAGTGAGGAACCGTTCAAAAAAGTTCACAGGACAAAATAAAAGTGTTGCTGCCGCCTTTGAGAAGAAAACTGTACTAAATTGAAAGATGAAGAAGTGTCCTTGGATATCTCACTCATAAATTAGCAAAAAAATAAAATTTGTCTTTTCATGGAGCTTTAAGAATAATTCCAGCTAAAAATGAGAAGCATTACATTAAGTGTTCCAGACTTGAGACTCAAAGCAAATGCAGATGCATACGACCTCAGCTCTCACACCTACAGAAGTGTCAATGAAAAATCTCAGAAAAGGGTCTAAATTAACTACAGGGAGGAGGAGGGGATGAAGAAGAACAATCTGCTCTGCGGGTGCCTCTCTGTTAACTAACCGGGAGACCACCTCCAGCAACGGGTGCTCAGCTGCAGCCCTGGGTGCAGAACCTCCCGTTCGACCCCGTCTCTCCCACCCCTTCCCATCCCAACCCCTTCCCTCTGCCCGGGCCAGCCGGAGCTCTTCCCACCCGCCCACCGCTGCGTACGGCGACGGGAGCAGCCCTCAGCCCCTCATCCTCACTCTCCCACCTCATCCTCCTGCGAAGCCGAGCCATCAACCGCCCTCGTAGCCTACGTGGAGCTCCTCAACCCCTGCCCCTTCCACGGCTGCGCCGTTCCGCATCCCCATCCCACGCCAGGGCACGAATTTTAGCCCCAGCACACTCTGCTTCCTCCGCTCACTGCCTTGAGCTGGCTCTCGCAAGGGAGCAGGTGCAAACAAAACCTCGAAAAACTGGTGTATCCCTCAGCTGTTTTAAAATCCTGAAACCCAGGATGGTGAGCAGCTCAAGCACGTTGCCCTGAAATACTTCAGGTAACAGAACCCAGGAAAGTTCAGTCTAAAGGGGGGGGATCCTATGATTTAACAGGCAGCAACTTGGAGATTTTTGACTCAAAACTGACATTTAGGGCAAAAGCTACATCAGTTGTGATTCTGAGGGATGCTTCACACACCTCAAAATGCAGCAACAGAAATGAAGACTCTATGACTTTCCCACTTTACACCAGTGGAGACCATCGCATATAATTGCTTAAAAAGCCCCAAAGGATGCCGGTTGGGCTCGTGATGATAAGAAAGGCCGGGA